AAGAGACAGCCCCCTCCCCCACCCCTCTTCTGACGTGTCGCCTTTTTCTTCCTCCCTCCCTTTCGTTAGCTTTCAAGTGGGGCATAGGAACTAGGTTGAATAGACGGGCAGTGATGTTGGTAGGACAGATATAATTGACAAGATATTTTCGGGCCACCTTTGGCAAAGTAGAAAGGAACGATTGGCTGTCGGTGGTCGGCCCTGTGGGAACAATGCTCCGTCCTCTCGACGACGCGTGGTCAACGGCCTAGCCGCTAAGGCATGCAAAACAACAAGAGTATCCCCCCCCCCCATCCTTCTCTTCATTTCTTAACTGTCTCTTGGCTATCGTTCAGTAGATTACCCAGCAAAATTGATTTAGCAAACAAACGGGAAAAAGCAGTCACTGCTTGCTGTGGGGTTAGGGTTACGGATAGGGTCTGCGTGCCCCCTCCCTATTATTTTTCTAGATATTCTTGAAATCCTGCGTAGGCGGTCCTTCTCTGGCCGCTTTTTTCACCCCGCCCCCCGCCCCTCTCGCTTCCCCCCTCATCTTCTCTCAAATCGCCTCCTTTGTATGTCCATTTTTTTTACAAAGTATACATGAACTCACAGAAAGGCCACCCGGTAGAGATTATACCACAGTCGAAGGGGATGTGTTGAAGTCGTTACAGTCAGTGTGGAGAAACTGGGTGGATACCGGGCTTATTTAGGGTATGTTATGCCTACACACTCCCAGCAACGCTCTCCCTGTCTCTCGCCGCTCGTTTTTGCACAAACCTATGTATAGTCCGCCGCTGCAGGGACCTAACGCTCCCCCCGGCGGAGGAGGGTTTACTCCCAGCAACAACACCAACGGGGGGGGTCCAAACAATGCGGGCGGCACGAACAACAACAACTTTCCCCCCGGTGGCCCGGGGCAGAGCCCTCAGAACATGCCCTCGCACGGCATGATGGGTCCCGGCGGGAGTGGGGGTCCCGGTGGACCGGGCCCCCAAAACATGCACCCCAACGGGATGATGGGCCCGCGGGGAGGCCCTCAGGGCGGAGGGGGTCGGTTTGGAGGCCCCCCCGGCGGGGGAGGCCCGCAGAGTGGACCCGGGGGACCCCCGGGGGGTGGAGGGGGTCCGCAGGGGGGGCCCGGTGGACCGGGGGGAGGGGGTAACGGTGGTGGCCCCGGGGGGATCGTGCTGCAGCCGGTGGGACTGTACAGCGTTGAGAGGCCCGTGCCGAACATGCCGCAGAGGCCGAACATGCCGGAGTGCCACGGCTTCGTGAAGAACGGGTGCTGCCGGTTCCTACACAACTGCAGGTGCCTTTGGTTTCGTGCCTGCGTCTCGTTCTTTTTCAGATAAACACGTGTGTGATCGTGTGTGTGTCTTTTTTGTGATTACATCAACCGCGCTAGGTGCTTGACCAACGAAAAGACGCTTCTTTTATTTGAAACGAAACCACGCGAACCGGCTGACATATGAAATCACGTCTCGTTTAGTGTTTGCATCAATCGCGCTACCCGGGGAACATGCGAAAAACGTCAGTCTTGAGCGCCGATGAAAACACAAAATGTTTTCGAAGGCCATGATCTGGAACCCGTAAAGTGCCGTCATGTGGGAGGCTCTGCTTTAATAGTTGCCTGCCGCGCAGGTGTGGATGGCAGGTCAACCGCGGCCGGAGGAGCCGAAGTCCTCACAGATGATGCCTCTTTTTCCGGCTAGTTTTTGCGGTGATTTGGGCCATATTGTACCTATACAAGAGCAGTCATGATGCAGACGTTTGTTATTCATGTCGCTAGCGACGGAGGCTGTTCGGGGATCCGTTCGTCTGTTTTCAAAGCGGCTCGTGACGTGTTCAGAGCCGTACGCACATACCGTATATGACACAAGATAACACACCCCCTGGACCAATTTTGAAAGCTAGATTTCTCCACGACGAAGAGGATGCATTCACGAAACGATACATTTCCGGATAGCTCTCGACTATACGGCTTCAACGCGGCCGTTTTCGGCCTTGTGACTGTATGCTGTTGTGACTGTCAAAGTCGATTCAGGGAGTGTTTTATCTTGTGTCATATACTGACGCATCGGTGATACCAACGTGTGGGCGCGAACAGCGTATATGCACATGCGTCCCTCATGCGCATTTATTGATCCTATTTTCGGTTGAAAAACAAATCTTTAGGATAAATGTTCTGGTGTCCATTTGTTGTCCCTCATTCTTTAAGAAGTGTGTACCCGCTGTTGTAGCAGTTGGCTTGTGACGACGGAAGGAGTCCGCGTCAGTTGGGCCAGTACGGACATTAGAAGCTACTGAGTGGAGACCGGAACGCTTTCTAATGTGAAGACAACAACGACGGCAACAACAACAAAAATACCTGTGGTCAACTGTCCCCAGGTACCACCACCCTTACGACCGACTCGGCATGGCCACCCAAGACTCCGCTGGCGGCGGCGGCGGCGGCGGCACGCAGAGGGGATCATCCTCACACGAAAACGTAGGCGGGGGCAGCGGGGTGGATGCGATCATCGGCGTGCAGGACCGAGCACCTTGCGACATGTTTCTGAACGTGAGTTTTTGCTTCTGAAGTTTTTCATGTTTTCAGAGAACGTTATCTCAGAGGGCTCTATTTGTTTTTTCAAGGGCCAGAGTGGTTCTTTCTCGTGTTTTTTTTTTTGCTGTCGAGTGCTTCTGAAGCACATCATTCCTTTCTTATTTCCCGCAAGTTGGCCACCTAACTGATTTCAGATTACCCGTGAAGCGGCGGTTCAAGT